TACTACGGTTCACTACAAATCAAGTACTACATGTTTACTGCAACACAAATATTACATGCTCACACACAAACACTATATGTTCATTACATCAATACCACTACAAATTTTCACATACAACACGGATTATATTTTCCCTTCATATTTCCGTAGAAGCAGAAAATTATTTTAAAGCTGTATTTTAAGTTGACAAAGCAGCACGTAATTGTGGACGATGGATAGCCTATCTAGCACCTCTCTCTGCCTTCCTGTGTTATTCACTAAGCTCAGCGAGTAAATTCAACAATGATGTCCCATTCATTTACTCGTCATCCTCTTAGCCTTCAGGTGAGTATAAGTGTGATAGTTCCTTCGTTGAAAGTTATCCGACTGTGGATTCGGACCGAATCCCGGCCTGTTTGGGCTCCACGTACTATCGTGGACAAAAGTTCGCACCTTCCCAAACTGAAGCAATATCGACCCGCACAGCACACCTGCACCAGATAACAATCAGAGTAAGTCAGTTCGGAGACTCATTCCCGTGTCTCAGTTTCACTACAGGGAGCGAACTTTTGTCCACGATAGTACCACAGATTCATAACTTATATTCATAAAATATAATAAAACTTTTATAAAGGAGAGAACTATAGTTAAATGTGTAGTTTAGCCGCGCAAGTTTTCTTCAGTTTAAACACTAATGTATATGTGTCAAGGATTGTCTGCTAATAGACTTGTTGCATATGGTGTGACGGATCACCCTGTAATGAAGAAATCAGATGTTAAGGCCTCCGCTCTTCCACAAGGAGCCTGCAGCAACACTCAGCCACACAATCGTTTCAAACAATATTTATTATTATATAGTAAAAATTATGTCGTTACATAAAATCATACCAACGAGTGACTTGTGCTATTCTAGCATCTGTACACTACTTTGGTTTTAGGGATACTCTTAATTTGTAAGTTAATTTACATTTACGATATTTCAGTACAATGACATTTTGGGGTGCCACTATAGCGTGCGGTCTACCTGGGATCTAACCTAACCCACCTCTCACGTTTTCTTTTTTCTTGCATGACACTTCCACATCGATATGCAACCGCGGTTTCTTCTGTCAAGATGACACCTGTGTAGAAATCTTTCAAGAGCATTATAGGGGATAAAGTGCGTTAGGGATAAAGTGTGTCAGACTGATGTTCTCGGCTTAATTTTAGGAGAATACTGATGTTTGTCTTCGTTGATCCCCCTTTTATAAGGTTGGTTTGGGTTCTGGTGCTCAGGTAGTCAGGTCAGGTAAGGTCCGTAGACTACGGATATTGCGGTAGACTGCAAGCTATTGTAGCATCCATTTTGGGTAAAATATACAATTTAATTTAAAAGGTCAATAAGAAATAAATTATTGTGGGTGGAGCACCATACAGATATATACGGTAAAATGAAAATCACCAAGAAAACACGGAACAGTACAGACACCAGAAATTGCCGATTTCCGAAATTACCGGACGTTGTGTATGGTGCTTCGAGTTGGCCTGAAATATTGCGCCATGGCTTCGGGAATCATTGATGAGAACCCCAGCTATAATTACTAGCCCTCTTACAATACCGTGGGTGTGGTGTATCCGCTCTATTATGCAACACATCCGGAATCCACACCATGTGTTTACCCATCAGCAAGGCACACCCCCCTGTAACAAGTGTAATGCCAATTATCTCTAATTAAATTGATATAACGGCAATCATTCACAATAATCTATATCATCCGCCCCTTCCCCAGGGTCGGTGATTATGCCTAGTGATGATGGGTGTTGTCGAGTGGTACGAAGACGAGGGGGGGGGGGGAGATGGACCAGAAAGGATGTAGAAACAGAAGAGAGGTGGGCAAAGGATGTTAACGTTTCTATATAGGAGGATGACGAAGAACATGTGTTCAAAAAACAACAAGTTCCCCACCGAGTCATGAACGGTTTGTACCGGGTAACTGTATACTATATAATACCATTTATGAGACTTATCAGTGCTAAGGCTTAGGGATGACACAAAAATAAACAACGACATGATTAGGCTAAATACTACCTCTTGGTACAGCTAGTACCTTGAGGTACTAGCTGTACCCCGCTCGCTGAATCTTTTAAGTCCCTTTTGTTTGGTACTAGCAAATGTAAGTCGGGTGCCAGATGCAACTTAGTATGAACTCAAGTTACTTACTTCAGCGTCAGCAGTAAAGAGATCCTCTTCGTTGACCCGTAAACATCATGATCTCTGTGTTAGTTAGAGCTCACATAACGAGGAGCCTTTTTTCTGAAGTTACGAAAACAAGTTCTCGGGGATTTACTGGTCATTTTACTCTCTTTGGGGGAGAAGCACAAGTGTTGTTACAACAGCGAATATAATGATCTGCTTTTTCATACTGATTAAAGGGTACACTTAAATATTGTTTTTATACTTAAAGGGAGGACATATAATCAACCATACAACTATTTTTTTTTTTTTTTTTTTGCAATTCTGCCGAAATAAATTCAACCCTCAAGGCCTGATCTACAATCGAAGAACATATGCCAGGTAGAAGGCAGCAACCAAATAGGGAGGTACTACCGCCTGGGAAGATATTGGAAGCATAATGTGTTGTCTAATGGTAGACCCTGCTGCCATATGGCATCACGAAAATTGTGACCAAGTCCCAAGTTGCTGATCTGACTTTCTGCCTCATTTACACACAATTGCAGGGTCTCAATTGTTTCTCTTAACAATGACAACACAATATACAAATATATTGCTTCTCATTCTTGATCTTTTTTTATTTTATTTCTTTATGGTTCTTTATTATTATTATTATTATTATTATTATTATTATTATTATTATTATTATTATTATCATTATTATTATTGCAGTGTTACTATTATTATTATTATTATTATTATTATTATTATTATTATTATTATTATTTTATTATTTTTATTTTTGTATTTTTTTTAATTTTACCAAGCTGAATTATTATTATTATTATTATTATTATTATTATTATTATTATTATTATTATTATTATATTTTCGCCCCCCAGGCCCCGATGTGGGTCAGTGACCTGTGCCCGGGTGGAATAATCCCCGTAAAAAAAAAAAATATATATATATATATATATATCAGCCCTCCCAACCTTAACCATCTCTTAAAAGATATTATTGTCAGATTTTTAAGCACTTTTATACCTTTACTGTGTCATTGGAAACCACTATATCTTATATTGTCACATTGATAGAAATTACCATTGCAATAATTATTTATTTTGCAGTCAAGAAACTAACACAACCCGTGTTGCATCGCTTCCATTCATCAAATTATTGTACTGTATATCAACTCTATTGTAAAAATGTGTATACAGTATATTTATAAAATTAATATAAAAAAGTGATAAACGTGGTAACAATCTAATATGAATTTACTAACACCATGTCATGTAGTAATCCAGATGATACTAAATGTTATATAATAATTCCTTAAGATAAATATACAGTATAGATCAGATGCCACTAAGTGGACTCAGGCTGTCACCTGGCTCAGCCATGACAATATTGCTCTTATTGTCCGTTCTGTATATGCAGACGCACATACAAGAGCACTCAAAGACACCCTGAAAGCGTCGTCTTCCGCACATCCAAGCAAGGAGGGGGTGGGGGGGGATGATAAAAAAACAATTTTTGTTCAGTGTTGTCGAGTGCAGTTTACTTGATTGCAGACGTGTTGTTAAAGTAAAGAAATACACCAGAACAAGAACATACGACATTCTTTCACTAATTAATGGATGTTCAGTAAAGGTCGATGGCCATTCCTTATTGCTATTAACATAACTTACCTTAGTTAATTGGTACATGAAATGTCAAGCATCATACCATCTATTCTACCAAAATCTGTCACTATAAATAGCCTTAAATAATCAGTATCTAGCAAAATCCCGATAAAAAACAAGTTTATTTTAATTGTTCGACTTGATTCCACTGTTTAACTTGAAAACAAAATTCAGCCGCTTCAGCAATACTGATAATGAAAGTTGATATCAACACAAGTTAGGTCAAGGATGAGTAAGGGCAGTTACTTTATATATTGATAATGTCTGTAGCATTAAACATTCAATGTAGACTAACTCTAAGTTAAATATGCACCAAGAAGATTAACAATTTGCCACTTCACAACCTTCCAGACCAAAACACCCCACTGTTGCTCGCCTAAAACATATTAACACTGTGATCAGGAGGGTAAAGGTATCTTCATTAAAATCTGATTAATGCTTTTAAGTTTACTAATGGCAATGTGTGTGTAAGAAGCTTCTGAGAAAACACGATTTTCACACACTAAATTTCCAAGCTACTTAGCCAACAACTGCACGTGAGACTAATCTTTATATGCGACTAATGGGCGTTTTCACAACAGAAGCAGGACAAGACAAACCGCGAGACGCTGTCTGATAGGAACAAATATTAATTAAATTTTAATGTGGCTTTCAAGTAGCTATCAAGGAGACAGAAGTTATTGTAACAGCTTACGAACGTTTATTAAGAAGTCATAATTATTAAGGTTCCAAAATTGGTACGATACTGATTTTTGTAATGTACATATGCGTAAAGATGTTTCTACCAGTAATATGTCGATGGGCATAAAAATCTGTGCATGTTACCTTTGAACCTTAATATGATATTCAAATGTCACATCCGAGTCATTAGTACAGGTACGTGCTAAATTTAAGTAATGAATCCATTATCTAATTTTGAAAATGTTGAAGTTACAGTATTGTCCCCTAGTAATTTAATTGTCAAATATATTCGCAAATTGCTCAAGCCCGGAACATTGTCAACCAGCACACGTGATTATTATTACTGCCAGTGATAAGTTCACTACTACACGTGCGTGGTAACTGTTACACCGATTATAATATGTCCAGCGTCAACACATTTAGAAGGAAATTTGTAATTGAATTAAGTTCATAACACCTGTGGGACTTATACTTTGGATTAGTTTAAAAAACTATATTCTTACCTTCCTCACTAGCAAAAAGTATTTATCCAATCCACAACATATCAACAAAAGTATCGAGATATTTAAGTAATTAACACGCCTCTCACGATGTTCACTGTCCAGCAGTTCACTTAAGCTGTCACACACACACACACACGCACTCCTCACTGGTAAATCCTTGACTGACCCTCGTGTTGTGAATGAACTGTCACAACTTCTCACGATCATGACGTCATTCTACCTTAGCCAATAGCTATTCAGCCCAGAGTTCGTCATCGACAGCTCGCCAATCAGCGTGTTTGTATAGCCAGTGGGCGGAGCGAAACTGCCATTCCTCGCCATTGCTTCTACATTCTTCGCATTATTGCACCTGTAAGGCTCCGTTATTTTTATGAAAAGCACAGTATAGGCACATTGTCACTGAAAATAAACGATAGATTTCTATAGTAAATTATATGAACGACCCGTTCGTATAATTCCATGAATGTGACAATACTAACTCAATAAAAGAATTAAGGTGCGACTATTTCAAATTTATTGAATCTCCTTCAAAGTACTTATAAATAAATGACTGTACAATATGCTGTTCGCTTGTTACATATTCATTACCGTTGGGTTTAAGAGCATGCAGCTGTAAATTGACTGTTAAATTATCACACCATGGCTGTGAACAAATTTGAGCGGGAACCAGATATTACTTATACACAAGGGACGAACATTTTACACCAGTTTAACCCATTTTACAATTCATTGGTCCCTAATCTATATTATACTTTTTAAGTCTGCCTTATATCACATACATATCTTTAATTCGCAAGCGTAAATCTGTTGTTTATGCATCGATGGACAAGGGAACTATTTTATTTTTCAGTGAAAAATAAGGATTTTGTTTCTCAGAAATATACAAGATAAACTCGAGAATACGCACTGAGTTTTAGTCAATATCCAAGGTCAACATTTTCCCTTGACGGGGTCGTCTTGTCCAAGCGACTGAGAAGGGCAGCGGAAAAACAATAATTTGAAGATGTGGCTGGAAGCTGATATTCCTTACCCTCTTCGTAATTGTTTTGTTTGGTCTATTGGATGATCAAGATAAATACGATCAATGAATAAAGAAAAACATAATGGTAATTTTACTGCCTTGTAAAAGCTCGTTCAGCTGCTTGATTCATTTTTAAGGTGTATTTTGGTGTTTTCTTTAAATAAGACTTTCATTTCCTTGGGAGTTAAGTGGTTTTCAAGGAAATGGTGATTTTACATTTTCCCAGTAACTTAAGATTTCTCATGGAAACGGATGTCAAATTAGCCGGAAACACACGAAAATACAACAGAAAAATAAGAACATAAGAACATAAGGAGTCTGCAATAGGCCGGCTGGCCTGTGCATGGCAGCTCCTGTTTTCATGTAGACAATTTGACCGTAGGGAGATCGGTGTTTTTGGGTGGGGTGTGGAAAGAAAAAAAAAACCTTGCTAAAATAACTGGGAACATAAAAATCCATTAGAGACAAAGACATTGGAATAAACAGAATTAAACTAACCTAACCTAATGAGGGGGGCTTTTCCCCCCTCGACCCCCCCCCAACTGTCCATTTGGGGGGGGGGGCTCAAATGGACAGTTGGAGTGCCGATAGAATCATACAAGTCAGCAGCAGTAAGGAGGAATTGATGTAGACGCTTTGGCTTTGGGTAGTGGCGAGCGAATAGGTAGTTTCGTTCAAGAATCTTCGAACACTGCTGGAGACAGCTGGCAACTTAAAGCCGTCGTTGTTAAAAATTATGAAAGAACGTAAACGTGATCGGTGATTGGTTACTTAGTTCTCCGTTGCTTAATTTAATGATTGGGCTTTGTTGTTTCGTATTATATTATTATTATTATATTATACTACGTACTATAGTAAACAGACGACCTTGCGTTGCCAGCTGTCTCCAGCAGTGTTCCGAACCTTGAACGAGACTGTACCTTGCTAGATACTTTGGGTAGGTGTTGTATTTATTGCCAGAACTTTTGCATCACGCCAACAGCGTTCTGTGTTTTGCGTACGTACTTCTCCCTCACTGAATAAACTGTTGTAACAGAACGAATGTAGTTTTGATTGATTGGGAGCAATGTGTCAGCGTTGTGTCGCTAAACCGTAAATAATAACAATAAAGTCACATTTCCTCGAAAATAGTGACAATCCCAGAAGGGTAAAGGTTGGTTATGAGCTTAACAGTAAGTAAAGGTGAATAAAATAAAAACCTTACTTCTATCGGAAGTGCGAACGTCAGTAAAACCAATCTCAATCGTGAATTTTCATCTGTAAAATAAAAAATGGCGAGTTTTGGGGCTACCGGTGTGTTCAACCTTGAATTTAGCAACCAACTTCAATGTGGGATATGGTAGACAGGTGAATGGGGAGTTTTCTTGTCTCAGAGTGTAATCATTTGCACCATATTTAACGTAACCTACTTAAGAACAAAAGGTAATATTTGAGAACTGTGTGGGGTATGAAATTGTTTGGTTCACACTCAGGATGGGATGGAGAAAGGAAACTCACAATGTGCTCTCGATATACATGTTGTATTGGATGTACAATGCAGCTTGGTGCTGGGAAGGCAGCATGGTTACAAGCGTGATGTAGAGAGAGCTGGTTGGTGAGGACGCTCAGAGAAGGACAGCTTGTGGGTCGCCATGCTCGCCAGCGGGAGAGAGGACCGCCAGGCAGGCGGAGGAGGAGCGAGGGAAGGCCGCCAGGCAGGCGGAGGAGGAGCGAGGACCGCCAGGCAGGCGGAGGAGGAGCGAGGGAAGGCCGCCAGGCAGGCGGAGGAGGAGCGAGGACCGCCAGGCAGGCGGAGGAGGTGTTGCTGGCTGGTTGGTGTAGGTAGAAAGAGAGACAGATCACCACGAGGTCAGGTCTTAAATAGCGGGGGTAGGCGTGGCTTAGCAGTTGACCCCCGCTCCGTGGTGTATGGCGGCGCTGGTTGACCTAGACCACGAGGCATACACTGGGGAATTGGTGGGGTCGGCTAGGCAGCGACAAACAGCGTTTGTAGGGGAGAATTCCACTACAATACTCCCCCTTCCCTCCAGGCTGTGTAGGAGACTTGTTGTCTGCAGAGTTGCATAGCACATGTGAGGCAGAACGGGCGGTGCGTGCCTCATGTGAGACAACGGCGATGGCGTGGATGAGCCGGTCGCTGGGGACAACTGTCTAGATACACAATATCTGTGGGAGTAGAGAGGGAGAATAAGGGTGTGTGGAGGCGATGAATTTTGTGCTTCCCTCACGGCAGGTACCGAGTCGTCAGATGCGCCTGCTGGGGTGTGTGGGCCTGGGTCAGGAGCAGGGGCTGCGTCAGCAGAAACGGATGAGGGCTCGTGACAGCAGCTGGGTCCACGACAGCAGCAGGGTGCAGGACATTAGCAGGGAGTACCTGGGGGAGAAAAGAGGGGTGTGTGTGTCCGCACTCAGGAACAGAGGCCGCATCAAGGGCGGCAGGGGTTACTGCTGGGCCGGGGTCGGCGTCTGAGGCAGGACGGGTGTGCTGGGGTCGGTAGGACGTGGTGCTTAGGGCAGGAAGAGGAGCTGGTGTCTGCTTAGAGTAGCAGAGCTGCTCTAGGGTGTCTAACCTGCGGTGTAGAGACAGTAGCTGTAGAGCCGATGAGAGCTGCTTCTGGGTGGATAAGCCAGTCTTCCATGTTGCTTGAAGACTGGGAGAGTGATCAGTTTCTCCTCCATCCTGTGTGAGTGCGAATCTCCGGGAGTCACCATTTGTGGGGTATGAAATTGTTTGGTTCACACTCAGGATGGGATGGAGAAAGGAAACTCACAATGTGCTCTCTATATACATGTTGTATTGGATGTACAATGCAGCTTGGTGCTGGGAAGGCAGCATGGTTACAAGCGTGATGTAGAGAGAGCTGGTTGGTGAGGACGCTCAGAGGACAGCTTGTGGGTCGCCATGCTCGCCAGTGGGAGAGAGGACCGCCAGGCAGGCGGAGGAGGAGCGAGGGAAGGCCGCCAGGCAGGCGGAGGAGGAGCGAGGACCGCCAGGCAGGCGGAGGAGGTGTTGCTGGCTGGTTGGTGTAGGTAGAAAGAGAGACAGATCACCACGAGGTCAGGTCTTAAATAGCGGGGGTAGGCGTGGCTTAGCAGTTGACCCCCGCTCCGTGGTGTATGGCGGCGCTGGTTGACCTAGACCACGAGGCATACACTGGGGAATTGGTGGGGTCGGCTAGGCAGCGACAAACAGCGTTTGTAGGGGAGAATTCCACTACAACTGCATTACCACCAGGAGGAGTTGTTCGATGTTTTCTTTTTTCCACACATCCTTAATATAGCTAAAGCTGCCTCCCGAAAGTTGGGAATGCTGTACAGATGACGTAGCTACTTCACTCCTGAACAGTTGCTCCAAGTATATACGGGTTCATTCGTCCTAACTTGGAGTACTGCTCTCATATCTGGGGTGGCTCTTTTGTCCAACTATTAGATAGGGTGGAATCAAAGGCATTTCGTCTTATTAACTCTCCTCCTTTAGTCCTCAATCTCTCTTCCCTTTCTCTTTGCCGCAATTTTGCTTCACTCTCTCTTTTACAGGTACTTTAACTGGCACTGTTCGGTGGATTTGGCATCCTGTGTACCGCCGGCAAGGCCGTGGGCTCGTAACACTCGTCTTGCCCGCGGTGCCCACCGTTTCTCTGTGGATGTCGGTCACACGAGAATGACCCGTTATAGTACCTCCTCCTTTCCTCACACAGCCAAACTGTGGAATGCTCTGCCTTCTGTGTTTCCATGCTCTTACAATCTGTCTCACTCTAAAAAGCTGGTTTTCCGGCATCTTCGTGGTGTAGATTAATACAGTATAACTTTTTTTTCTTTATTTACAATTTCTTTCCATTTTTTTTCGCCCCCCAGGCTCTGTTGTGGGTCGTTTGACCTGTGCCCGGGTGGGCTAATTCCAGTAAAAAACAAAAAAACAAATGTAGCACGGATCTCCACATTAAAGTTATTGGCCGCTGCATGGTGTTTCTCCTCCCTTTCAAGAAAACATCTGTTTACACATCACTTGCAGAGCCTCATCCCGTTCATGAATTTTCTTGTTGATCTCTTCCTGTATCAGTTGCAGTTGTTGCTGAATTTTCACTTGCAGCTGCACATTTTCATGTTTCTGCTCTTCTCGTTGTTCTTGTAGTAATTGTTTATGTTCTTTTTGTTATGGTTGTAGCTCTTTTTGTAACATTGTTTGTTGCTCCTTCTGTTATTCCAGTTGTTGTTTCTGTTCTCATTGTGATTGTAGGATTTGCATCAGATCAGCCATAGAAATCTCCCCTTGCCTGGCCTGGCTTCTGGTCTGGACACCTTCACCTTCCATCTTGCCAAATACCTCACTGTTAGGCTATCTCACTCCTGACACCACTGTTATGACCCTCCTTTCACCGCTTACCCAGCTTCCACCACTGGTTACCAG